AATCAATGAAACCCACCTTTCATTTACATGTGCTGGCCCATAATGGTACTCACATACAACACTGCCCAAAAGAACTTTCTAAGATGATAGAATATTCTTTCTATTTCTATACTACTTGATAGAGCAGCCACTGGTCATATGTGGCTACTGAAGCACCTGAGGTGACCAGTGTGATTGAAGAAGTCAATTTTAAATTTTATTTGGTTTTAGCTCATTTAATTTTAAATAGCCACTGTGGTAGGTATGTACTTAATTCAGTTCTGTTCCCTCCCCCTTCTCACCACCAGCCCCTGCTGCCTTTTCCCTCATCCTCCTTCCATGCTGCCCCCTGGAGCCACTTTCTTAGTCAAGGTTGTCCTTTATTCCTGGCTTGCCTAGAAGACATGTCCCACCTGATCACCTGGACTCTCTGTGTACAACTACGATCCTGCTCCTTTCTCCATGTTGACCTTGGACAATGCAAATCAAAAGAACCATTACCATTTTCCTGCAGACTGGTCTAACATTCTGGGCCATGGAGGCTGAGATCTCTGTGTTTTGATATTCACCCTTAACTCTGCCTGGTGCTTCTCATGACTTCACTTAATAGTTGTTCTCCCAACCCCCTATACTGACCACTACAGGGACCCTCTTCTGCAGCCCAGGCTAGACTGACCCAGTCCATGTTCTAGCTGCTTGACCAGCCTGGCCAAGACCTTAAGAAAATATCCCCAGTCCCAACAGCCTAGGGAAGATTTTGGAGCATTTAGGTAGCCCCAGAGCTATATTTATTTATTTAAAGTTTATTTATTTGTTTTGTGAAAGACAGCAGGGGAGGGGCAGAGAGGGAGAGAGAGAGAATCTAAGCAGGCTCTGCACTGTGTGTGCAGTGCCTGATGTAGGGCTCGAACTCACAAACCATTGAGAGATCATGACCCAAGCTGAAATAAAGAGTTGGACACTAAACCGACTGAGCCACCCAAGTGCCCCATCCCTAGAGCTGTCATTTAAAGAAAAACAAAACAAAATAGAAAGGGAAAATACAGTTCAACAGCAATATACAGAAGAGACGAACCCATAAAAACAAAAGAAAGGAAAGGATCTAAGCATTTCCCTTTTTCCTTTACCACAAGAATATGCAATGCTATCCACAGATTTAAAAACTATCCTAGCAGAAATGCACACATCTAGAACTTGCCACCAATGAAAGGTTGTCCTGAGGACAAGATAGACTGAAGATTATGAGTTCAGCTAAAGTTCTGGCAAACACGAACCAAGAAAAGGCCTCTAACCCTTCACCCCTGCTCTTGAGCTGAGACAGACCAGTGCTTAGCAGCATGGGGAAATCTGGCTGCCACATAAAAGGACCAATCTGATTTCTATATATGTCATTTCTGAATTCTATTAAAATATATAATCAGATTACATGGGGGTAAGAGGACCCACATTGCAGGTGTTTCCAGGAGTGTCTGGAGCAGGTTCGTACCCCAGGATTCAGTCAACAGCAGCTATACTTCTAGAAACTGAATTCTTGGGGATGACTTGGGCAAACATCACAGAAGTCCATTTCCACCTGAATGGGAACTAACTCTTCAAAGGTGGCTTTTTGTTTATCTTCCTGTGCTAAGTGGTTGGGCAAGGTACCAGTAACCAGAGTTGTTTCTCAGTAATTATTTACCATATGAATAAATGAAAGTACTCATAAGTGCATAACAAAGGGCTGAAGTTCTGAAGCTGACACTTGCAAAGGTGGCTTCACTGCTGTCAGCAGGAACTCAAAAGATCCAGAACAAAGAACTGGTGGGGTACAAAGGGTATTTGATAACAAGAGGAAAGACATAATCCCAGACCTTAAGCAGCTCACATGATACTATGAAAATGTCATTACCTTCCTTCCACGTGTGTTTATTTTTATGTGAACCTGACTGCATATGCATAAGTACACACACTCATGGGCAGACCATCAGTTCAGTTTTTCCTGCTGCTGCTAGCTTGTCTGTGTGCGTCTGTGCGTCTGTGTGTGTCTGTGAGTGTTTAATGATTGTAATACCATTCTGAAAACTTAATATGTCTGACTTTCATTCCAGCAGTGTTCTGTTCAGGGTTGAATAGCAACTTCAACAAAATCCAGACAGTCAGTTCCTGCTAGGGGAATTAGGGTTTATGTTCACTACAATAAATGATCCCAAGATAAATATATTTCTTTTTTTTTTAATCCTGGATGGTGATGTATCCTCTTTCCAATACAGAAATGGGGGAGTCTGGCTCTATTTAGTTTGTCTGATTGCTTCTAAGAGGGGGGATAGGTTGGCTCTGAAAAACTATGGTCCACTATTCATTAAAGTGTCAATAATGCTCAGCCCAGGCATATCGACAGCGGATTAGCTTGGGCTGAGTCTGTGTACAAGACCAGTGCCTTTTTTAACCTAGCTTGTTTCCAAATCAATACACCCATCAGCATTCGAAAATTAGCCCAAGATGAGATTCCAATACTTGAGGTGGTGTGTCATGCTAAGAGGCCACCTAGCCAAGTCACAGATGTAAACACCTAGCTGGGGATTAGACATTTTCCATTAGTGTGGACATGAGTGAAGATTGATGTAGACCCCTTCACCTCACCTCTCCTATGTCTCCACCCGTACACACACTCCACTTTCTGTCTTTGAGCCTGTATAAGACCTCTGGACTGTAAGTTCAGCCATTTGCTTCAAAAAGTAGTTATTACATGTGCACTTTGGATAAGGTACTCTCCCAGGTATTTAGGGCAGAAGTGTGTGGGTGGGTGTGTTGGGGGGTGGAGGGAGAGCTTAAGGAAAACAAATGACAAAAACATGGTCCTTATTTTCAGAGAGGTTTCAGCATTTTTCACTATTCCTTCCATTTTCCAGGTCCATAAAGGTCCTACTCCATAAAACGAATGTCTGTACTAGTGGGCATTTCCTGATTTCTCTTGCCATTGCTGGGTATCCTGCTCTTGACAATACATGTGTGCAGGTGGGGGTGCAAGGGGAACATGGTTTCAGGGAGGGGTTTCAGAAGCACCCTTTGGCAGAGATTACAGATGGTGACCCTGAAGCAGTTGCCGGGCCTCCTCATCGAATATGATTTTCAAACTTTTTTTTTTTTTTTTTGCCAACTATCCACCATAATAATGTATTTTATATTAAAAACTTACACACTCTGAAACAAAAATCTTATATAATGATACTTTTTCTGCTGTTTGTAAGACACTGATACCTTCTATGAAATTCCATTTCCTTTAAAAAAAAATGCTGCTTGCATCCAGCCGTTTGAAAAAGATTCATTTGGAGAACCAATAATAGAAAAGGCCATCGCAATTTCTTTTTAGAAGAGAGCAAAATAAGTAAGAACAACGTGGTGTGGCCAAGCTCTGCCCCGGCAGGAAGGACGCTGCTGTCCTGGCAGCCCCTGCCCAGGGCCAGTGTCACGGTGCCCTTGGGTGGTTGTGTCTCATGCCCACTCGCATCACTTCACCCTTCAACTGCGCATGGCCGCAGCCCAGGGTGGGCAGCCTCCTGCCTTCTCACAGCTAGGGTTCCCATCACACCTCCAGCTCCTTTGTGTTCTTCCTTCTCCAGTCACTTTCCTGCCCTTGTTTACTGACCAAGTCCATCCCCTTTCCTTGGGCTCCCTGACAAGAGAGTGGCAGGAGGCGCCTCCCCAAGAGGAGCTTCTTGCCCCAAATGGCATTCAGCTATATGGAGGGAACTGAAAATCGAACTGGGGAAGAAACTCCAGCAGAAGGGCCAGGCTACACTGCTCAGGGCTTAAGCTTCTGAGATCATAGAATGAGGAATTTGGCCCACTGTAAAAGAATTTTAAAAAGCTAAAATGCAATATCAGTATTTAAAGATATATTAATGATGGGGCACCTGGGTAGCTCAGTTGGTTAGTGTCTGGCTTCAGCTCAGGTCATGATCTCATGGTTCATGGGTTCAAGCCCCAGGTCAGGCTCTATGCTGACAGCTCGGAGCCTGAAGCCTGCTTTGGATTCTGTGTCTCCCTCTCTCTCCAGTATCTCACACTTGTTCTCTCTCTCTCTCTTCAAAAATATATAAAAAATATTTTTTAATAAAAATATATTAATAGCTAACACTTCAACAGTACTGTAGACCTGCTTCTAAGTGTTATGTAAAGTGTAGTCCTCAGCAAGCTGCTCACAACATTGATTCCATTTTACAGAAGGAAAGCCTGAAGCCCAGTTAGTAACTTGATCTGAGTCTCACAGCCATGAAGAGGCCAAGTCTGGTTCTGAGCTCTTACTCCCTAATTAAGAGCTTCCCACCATGGTAAAGTGTCATGTGAATGCCCCAGGGTCAGCTTCATGGGGAATAGGTAGGAATCATTCCCAGGGCCTGAAAAACTCAGCCAGAGCAGAACCAAGAGAGATGCAAAACCAGAACATTGACATAGGCCTAAAAATCTGGGGGCAGGAACTTGGGGTGCCACCAAACACAGTGAATCAGATGCAGGTTATTAAAAGGGAGATGTGGCATCAGAAACCCAGGGCTGGGAGATGAGAGACACAGGCAAGCTGGAGACAATGGAGGTGGCTGTGAAGGACACGTCTCAGGTGGGCATTCAGAACGTGTGTGATGGACTCTGCTTTCTTGAAGGCTGCTCCAGGGTATGGCACGTGTGAAGTGCCAGAAGAGCTAAAACACTGGTCTTAAAATAAAGCAGGCCTAGAACTGGATGGAACCTAAAAAAAAAAAAAAAAACTTAAGGGAAGAAAAAAGCCAAGGAAAGCAATAATTAGAAGATAATTTTCTGAGAAAATATATTATTGGAACAAAAACAAAAACAAAAAATCCTAGTCCTATTCAACACTAAAACTTATTTCAAAGTTCAGCTTCTAACCACAAACTGACAGTTAGTTGTCCTATTGTCCTGGCCAGATGGAACAAACTGAATGTATCTCTGCTGGAGATAACAGAAAAAGTGTTCAATACAGGCTCTACCAGCCATCCATCCAGACCATCCAGCCAAGCGACGCCTACCTTGCACAATGAGGTGGACCCTTGAGGTCTTTGGGTGGTTGTCCGTCTGCACAGAGCACGTGTATGGGCCCTCATCATACACATCCACGTTCTGGATCTCGATGCTGTACTGGGTTTGGGTGTTGCTCAGGAGGACCACACGTGGGTCCAGGCACCACTTGTCATTCCCAGCGTAGAGGATGGTGCTGCGGTTTAGCCAGGCCACCCGGGTGACCCGGTTGTCAATTGTGCACCTGGAGGGAAGACCAGACGGTTAAGTCCAGGGATCAGAGAGAAATGGGAACCATCACATACGCGTATCTTGCTTGATTTGTCATGGTTGGCATTTTCTGGGACGGGGAAACAGAAGTCTTATAAGATTATTGTCTCAGAACACTATCTGAGATTTCTGGGCCTTGAACAGCCCAGTGCTTCTTAAACCAGCTAAGCACAAGCCTACTTCAATAGTCATTACTATTCAATAGTTACAACTGGAGGCATCTTCCACACCCAGAGTGGCCAGGCCCTTTGAGCACCATAGCTCACCCTTTGCTTAAGGATTCCCATGATGTAGGCATCTGGGGAGTACTAGGTCATCCAATATTTATAACAACCCTATGAGCAAGGTTCTGTTGGTAAAAGGAATGGAAGAACAAAGAAACTAAATATTTCTCCCAAGTCACACAGATAATATATGCCAGATCAGAGACCTAGATTTGACTCCTAAACATTATCTCAGAATAGTGAATTCTAACAGAAGGCTTCTGAAGTCAAAACTAAATATGGACCACCACCATTGCTATTCATCTTCATTATACCCAGGGGCAGAAATGTTCAATTACTGTGAGACTAAAGACATTTTCTAAAATCTCAAAACTGTTTGCACATGTAAAAATAGATTTTGTCTTTTTTATTTTTGCATCTGGAGTCCCCAAATTGTGGAAGCTCCCTTCCCTTTCCTTACACTTTCAAATTTTCCAGCTTCTCTCGCCAAGTCCTAATCACATCTCTCTGTCTGTATTCATTTCCTTCTCTCAATACACCAAGTATGTTCTATGGCCTTGGGCGAAATTCACAAATAGTGTCCTGATCCTAACTATAATGCTGGAAATAGCAATGTAGCTCAGTATGTATAATGATGCCTCAAATTTATATATTCCTTTGCAGTGTACAAAATGCTTTTACATCCACACTGTCTCTTTTGATTCTTGCAGCAAATCTGTGAAGTAGATGATCTTACCCATTGTCTACTTTAAAGATCAGGACTCCACTATTTGGAAGGGTCTGGTGACTTGCCCAGGTTAGAGAGCTAGGAAGTGACAAACCTCTCAGCCAGGTCGTCTAATTCCTGGTCCCGTGGCCTCCTCAGAATGTTCAAGGGAAGGGAGAGTTCAGTGGGGAGGGATGATTGCTTCCGCTGAATTCTCAAAAAAAACCTAAGAATTGCCACTGAGCACACCAGCTTCCCCGGGTGGTCCTCTCAAGATGAGATATCCTGTTCCGTGCATCCTTTCTGCTTGTACTTGTGTAAATGTCACAGGATCATTGCAGGGCCACTCAGGCACAGGTGGGGAGCCTTGCTGAAAGTGCCTGTGGGGAAAGCTGCTCAACTAGAAACACCTTTGCTCTGGTGTCCAGCAAGTTCTATGTTGTTCATTGTGTTTTCTAGACAATGCAGGTTGTAAATGATGGAAGATCTTACCTACCAGGGAAGATCAAGGGAATATTTCTGGAATTGGACATGGGTCAATTGCATCAGAATTGCATGAGGGATTTGTTCCAGGTTTTTATTCTCACCTCCTATCCTACTGATTCAGGCTTTGGGTATCCAGAAATAAGAATTCTAACAACATTCCAGTTGGGTAATATCCCTACCAAAGTTTGAAAAACACTGGTATGGAGCCATGTGTCCAGGACTAGCTACATAATTTGGGGGGCTTCGTACAAAATGAAAGCGCAGAGCTCTTTGTTCAAGAATTATTAAGAATTTCAAGAAACTGAGAACAGAGAATTTAACCATATGCAGGGTCCTTCTGAATGCAGGGGTATGTGTGAATAAATACATACCCTAAGTTGATCTCAGACTTTATTGTGCTTATGACGCTTCTTGGGATCTTATTAAAATGTACATTCTGATTTGGTAGGCCTGGAGGGGGGCGGTTCCTGAACTTTTAGTTCTGAACTTTTAGTAGTCTCCCAAATAATGCCAATGCTGATGGCTCTAGAGCATTCCTTAAGTTGAATAAATCTAGTGGTGAAACATATGAACACTAGGGTTGGGGAAGCACTCAGCTAAGCACCTCACTATGTGAAAGTGTGGTCAGAAACCCAGCAGATCATCATCCCTTGGGAGGTTGGTAGAAATGCAGAGACGTTGCCCCTCCCTCAGATGCAACGAATGAGAATGTGCATTTTAGTAAGATAACACATGTGAAGTTTGGGCTGGTCTAGAATGCACTTCAAGACTTCCTTTGGCTTTGATGACAATACCTAGAATACTCTGAGAGCAAATGAGAGGTGGAGAAGTATGGCCAACAAGGAAGCGCCTGATGCCATCCCCTCCCTTAGGTTCCCTGCAGACATTCCTGATGTTCTTCCTCTCAGGTTGCCTCCCTTGAAATGTGGATTTGGAACCACAGTGTTTTGAAATCCCTGAAGAACAACACACTCCACAGGATACTTTACTAGTAATACACCTGGGATGTTATTTGTCTTAATTACCTTAAGAGTGGTCCTTGCTCTACATTTTGCTTGGATCCAAAGCAGATAAATAGACTTTCATATTCATGGCTAATATTTACTGAACACATATTATTGTATACTAGGTGCTATGGAAGCCTATTATATACTTTATCATCTCAAAAACCTGGTAGATTCACTTATTAATTCCAGTTTACAGATGGAGTTAAATTGAGTTAAAAAAATATCCAGATTGAAAAAAAAATACCTGAATTTAGTAGAATAACAGTGGTATTAAGCTTCGGAGCCAGAATTCAGACCTAGTTTTATTTTATTTGGTTTCAAATTTGTTCTTGAATGTCCTCATAAGCCCTCATAAGCACATATATATATATGTGCCCTATATAACATTTAAATTCAATGTGCAATAGAATCAGCAGCAAACCCTGATAAAATACAGATTGCTGGGCCCCTCCCTGATCTGGAGACCACGTTTTTGGAAGCCATTAATTTAGACATCTGGTTTCTGGTGAAATGAGAGCTGCAGAGCGAGTAGGCACTAGGAAATGACCCTTGTTTGAAACAGTTTTCCATTACTTTAAAGGAGAGAACTTCCTTGCAACCAATCTGCTCTGGAAAGCCAAAAGCAGAGTCCTAGTTAGTTTCTCCTCTAGCAACTAAAATTTGACCAGACACCAGGTGAATGGTCAGCCGTGGTGCAGGAAATTCTGATCAGCAACCTCTGCACAGCTTGAATAATTGTTTTTGATGCCCGCAATGGGGCATCTCACAGCCTCTCTGAGATGAATCCGAGAGGACAGTCGTGGGCTTCCTGTGAGTGTCTAATTATTGGAAATTGACTGAAACGAAGCAGTCTCACTACACCGCACTGTGTGTACAGGGCCAAAGATGTTCATTTGCAGATACACTAATGCTCTGAACACAGCCAATTTCCAGCACGGTTATGCGGCCCCTGTGATATACTACACTGAAAAGCTGGCATAGCTTCAGCTGTGGTTTTGGGCACATCCAAGGTCATGTTTAGATGTCCAAACTGTCACTGCTGGATATCAGTCTTGCTGAGTCTCCACGGCATTAATGCTGGCTTCTGCAGAGATGGATCACAAAGGTAACTTGGCAGCCAACTACAGTCACCTCCTCATACCTGTCCCCATCTATCCGTCTCATTTATCGAATCTCCACAACAATGTAGAGGAGACAATTCTCCCAGGTTAAAAAAAAAAAAAAAAAAAAAAAAAAAAGAAAAGCAAGCATAATTGCTCCCTCAGTCAGAATGCTCTGGTTGGGGGGGTTTGGTAGAAGACTGGGGTGGAAAATTCCATCAACCGGTTCCCTTTTTGCAGAGATAGTCCTTTACAAAGATCTACAAAAGACGTTTCAAACACATCACAATATTTCATGTCCTTCAGGAAGGTAATTAACCGTATGATTAAAGGTAGGGAAGGCTTCAAATTCAACTCTCCCTAATCCAGGCAAGTACAGATGACAACGACCACTTGTTATCAGGAAATGGTCACAGGTCAGGATAAGACAGGCCAGGAAGGGAGATGCAGAGACAGAAAGAGTTGAAAGTACCCTGCCTAAACCTTGATAGACTCTCTCCTTTCTCCCTGCATTCTTGAGATATGCTAAGCTCCCAACCTGAGCATCCTTTCCACCATCCTGGCAGACATACGAAGAGAAACAACGTCTATAGACCTAAGCCTTCTGAATGGATCCCTGAAACTCCCAATTCCCCACCTTCAAACATCTATCTCTCAATTCTGAAATCTCCAGTCTTCTAGCTTTAATGCTGCCATCACTTATTTCCATCCTCCAGCCCTCTGGCCAGTGGCCATCAGCATTCAGTGTTTGTGTAAATGGCCTTCCTTTCCTACGGCCTGTGAACCTCCTGGTTTCCTACAGACAGCCCATGGCCTGACCTATGAGATATCCTGGCAGAATCCAAACAGACAGACAGAGCCTGGGAAAGATGCTTGTTTATTATTTCACTGATGAGCCAGAGTGTCCTTCACAGTCTATGTGTCTATCTGCACCCTACTCCTTTCCTTGGAGAAATTTCTTTATAAAAAGAGCAGGCCTGATCTTTTTGAATACAGATAATCCAGGGTGTGTGGCCTGCATGGATTGGGAATGTATTTTCTTTGATGATGAAAATGTTCACATATAGTTGAGTAGAAGAAGATCAGACATACATGCCTATGCTGTACCTTGCACCCAAGCACAGTGTATGGCAGAGAAAGCTGTCATACCTGTCATTTTCTGTAGTTGCAACAATTGTGCCAAAGCTCCAAAAATACAGCCCTCTATGTCCTTAATCTCTTGCTGATGAATAGTGGCTTTATTACACTTGCTGCATTTATACATAGAGTAACAGCAAACAATGATTAAGCAAGCCCAGGATGAGGGGCTGCAGAGATAGAATCATAAGAGTGTGGATCCAGGGTCTCAAGCTACTTTAGGATCTGAAAGGAAATGAGAAAGAGAAAGAGGCAGACAGTGAGTGTGTGTCTAGAAATTGTAAGAAAAATAGAGCAAAAGTATCTTCTTGGAA